TTTTTGGGGGTCCTTCGGGTAGTCTTTGCCGAGGTCGTCCTTTGGTTTGCCCTTGGGTAGGGTTGTGTGGGGGTTGTTGACAAATGCATCAGAGGCGAATGAAACACAGGACGAAACAAGTATAGGCGTACATGAAGTTCGTGATTTCAAACAACAACAATTACAAACAGTTTTCAGAAGCATCGAGTCATTGACCATGATCTGCGAGTGATAATCGTTGCAGAAATTTAGAAACCACAACATTACAGGGCAACAAAACAACAAGGCGAAACAACTGCACCATACATACACGACAATAAATGAAACATGGAGACTGAACTCAATCAAACACTTTGCAAAGAAAGTGTGCAATCGTCTAAAACATCGATACAAAAGTAGAAGGAAAACAAAAAAAATGCAAGCACTGCAGATGCTACGCCCATGTCTCAATAAAGAGTGCAATCCTCTGAAACATCAATGTGAAAATAAAACGAACAAGAAACAACAAAGTGCACCTACTGCACCTGTGTATGGAAAAAATGTGCAATAGTCTAACCAGCCGTACAAATACAAATGCAGTCATGACGAGCTGCACAAACTACACCTATGAACACATCACCTCATCCGAAGCACTAAATATACTATACACTACTACGAAATACAGGACGAACGAGGACCGCTGGTGGGACTAAACATCATCGTCGTCCACAATGTCCTTCCTCCTCCTTTGCGGCGCCACACCTGTGACACCATCGCCGCCACCTGTGCCGCCTACCGGCCCATGCGCAGTATCCGGAGCATGAACCCCCCCTGTGGCGCCGTCTCAACCACGCGCTGTGATCGAAGAAGGTCGTACACGGAAACCCTCTTCCGCTGGCCAAGAGGCATCTCCAAATTGTCGGTACCCGACTCCCAAACGACTGCTGTCTGTGACGATCGCTGCACAGACACCGCCCTCACATCCTCCCGCAATATACGTCCCTCCATGGTCCTCCCGGGGGGGCCACTGTGCTCTGCCTCCTCCCCCCTACGTGTTGTATGCCCCTTAGTACGTCGCATCGCCGCCTCAGATGGGCTGCTCCGTCGCCCGAGTGGAGGCCCTCTCCCGCCAACCTGCTGTCTCCGCGACAACGTCCCCGGCCAATGCCTCCCGAGTCCGCGGATGTAAACCGGCCAACCCGGGCTGACTCTCCCGCATTGTCTGCGTCACCCTCCTCACAGTACTAAGACTCTTACTTGCTCTCATCTTCTTCTTCCGTGATTTGGGAGACGGAGACTCTGCAGGTGTCCATGCGGGAATCCGTCCTGTGATTGGACCCTCAGCATGTCCGGGGGTAGTGGCACCTGTGGCGGACGATGGCAGTGACGGGCTGCACGACACGTAAGCTAGGCCCTCTGCCATTAACCTCCTCGACGCCTCATCCATCCGTCCGCGCCGATTTGCCTGCAATGGGTCCTCCCGTGCCTGCCGCTCCAACTCCCCCGCCGTCATGGCTCCACCAATAGGCAATATACAAACACCCTGAACCGGTGACGCGGGTCTCTCGCCTGCATCCCCACCGCCCGTACTGCCATACTCAAGCACTGCATCGTCCGTCGCACGATGACCCTCACTACCGCCCGTCTCGAGCATCCGCTCTGCCTGTGCCCTCGACGCAATACTCTGTGTCATCTCGCAACGGCTAGCCAAGTACTGCGCCCTTTCCCTCTCCTCGCGGTCGATCCTATCCTGCTCGGACTCTGGTGCTCGCTCATGCACATGTCGACAATCCCCATCATTCCCTACTGCACGCTCCTGCTGCCCCGACGAACCCTGTGTCCCCTCAGCTGCCTCTTGCAACATGCTGCTACTGATGTCACCCATGCTGCATGAAGGTATGTCCCTGAGTATCTGACAGACGGGCGTAGCTGCTGCGTCCGCATCACCACTGCCACGCTTGCCTGCTGGTGTCGGAGGAAGCCCTAACGAGACATCCAAAATACCACTGAAACTGGCACCCAACTGCGTAGAAGCCCTCCGAACCTGTGCAGCCTCGCCAACAACCTCTGAAAACCCGCCTGCGACCTCCTCGGACGCCGGTGCAAACTCTGCAGCGGCGGGAGCGGCCTCTGCAGCAGCCTCTGCCGACGGAGCACCAAACTTTGCCGACCCGGCGCCGACCTCTCCTGTCGTGGCACCCTCATCAACCCAGTGCACAGTGCGAGTGGATGATGCAGACTCTCGCCTCGCCCGTCCTCCGCCACCACGGCCTGCACCCCCTGTGTGTCGTGCACCCCCACACCCCTGCCTGCACCACTGCCTCCCCTGCCTGCACCACTGCATCGGTCGGCACGCTGTCGAGCCAACGTTTGCAAACCACCTGCATGGTGTGTACCATCGCCGCTGTCGCCGTCGTCATCACCACGTCCCTGTGTCGGGGAATAGCCGGGATCATCCTCGTCCTCACTGCTGCTCTCGTACCCCTCCCTGTCACCGTCGTCGTCATCGTCTCCCTCGTCAACAATCTCTTGAGTCCCTTGCTCGCCATGTCCAGGACGATCTGTAGGTGGAAGGGGATGCTGCGCAGCGGCTGTAGTGGAAGCAGGAGCACTCGAAGGCGGAGGTGGAGGGGTAAGGGGACGCGGCACAGCGGATGCAGTGAAAGCACACGTCCGAGGACGCAACGTCTCGGCGAGAGGACCATCGTCGCGATCATCATCAGAATCTCCGGGCTCTGACTCCACTGCTAGGTCGTCTGGATCAGACCACAGCTCCGCCTCAATCGGGTCCTAAGCCATAGGATCAGGCTTGGGATCGTACACGACGTCCAACTCAGTCGGCATGAGCACCGTGGCGCGACGACCTAAATACGTCTCAACGCTGGGCGGAGCCTTCGAAAGACGATCCTTCCGCCCGCGCTACACCTGCCGCTCGCGCTGCGCCTCCGTGACTCGGTCAGCTGGTCGAACACCCTCATCACGAGGCGGAGGAATAATGTCCGCTGACTCCTCCTCAGCATCCTCCCATGGCAGAACGTACCCTGAACCCCTCCCCTGACAGCGACTCAATCTCAAGTTGGTGGATATCTCCACCAAACGAGCAAGCTTGATGAAACCAAGCTGGTTACGCTTCTTCACCTGAACACGCTCATGGACGACCTAGTTCCTCTCCGCTCGAGAGGTGCACGTCCATGTGTGCATCAGGTGAATGGCATAACTCTGAAGGAGAGGGACCCCGTCCCCGTGCTGCACCCACCACTGCTCAACCTGCGACGTCTCCTTCTGCCCTCTGCAGGAGGCCGCGTCCCTGTCACCCTCAACCCCTCCGTGCGTCCAATCGCCCTCCCGACTAAGAAACTCCGCCAACTACGTGCGCAACGTCTGATACAAATCCTCATCTCCGCCACTCTACTGGCGAAGGTATCACGGCGACTCCTCTGCGAGTGTCTTATCGTGCTCGCTGAGCCTCGCCACTCCAAAATACGTAATGCTCCTGTGACGAGGGTTGAGGAGGTGGGCCATGCAATAAGCGGGCTCCAACATATGATCGACCCGCGCCTGACAAGCCTGAACAATAATGTTGAGCTTCTCCATCGACGGCCTGTTCTGTCTCGCCCTCGCCACCCTGTCAACCATGGCAAGCGCCCACGACCACATGCGAGTCATCACGCGCCCCCCTCTGTCCAAACGGCATAGCAGCTGCATCACAGGCATCATCAGCTCCACGATGTTCTCCACGTGCTCCCAAAATGGCGCGTACAGCACCTGATGACGCACCCACCTGGCCTGCAATAAAACGAATCTCCTCCATGCAGTCCGTAACCAGTCGTCGCTCATTATCAATGCCTCCAACGCCCGGCGACGATCCAACAACCTCTCAAGCATCAAGTAGTGCGTCGCAAACCTCGCCTGTGCGGGGTACACAAGCTCTCTGCCTCGCCGCTGAGACAAGGGCGGCGCAACGCTGGAACTGGCCGCAACTGCGGAGGCGGAAGAGGGGTGGGCGGCAGAGAACCGCCGATAAAGGCTGAGAGCCGCCCCGTACTCTCTGATGAAACGCACGACAGCTCGAGCCCTAATGATGGTGTCCTCCCTCTTTCCAAGCTTCCCGTTGGTGCCGTTGTCAGGCGGCCGTAAGCAATGCGCCGCCTGAGATCTGCAGTTTTGGGACTTAGGCTCAGGGACAAGTCCGTGTTTTGATGGTACTCTCATATGGCCAGGCAACAAAAATTAGGGGAACTCAGGGCACCCCTGATTCTGGGCGCACTGAGCCTTACGAGTAATCTTCAAAGATGGCGAGATGAGTGACCACACTCGGTGCATCTAGGGACCGTCATTCCCGACTGTTTAGAGAGCTAGACTCGGATTGGCCTGCCGCGGAGAGGCATCCCGGGAATCGACCTCGCCGCAACGTTTTTGCGGCATACGACCGGGGCCGAAATGAGGCCTCAAATTTTTGTCTATTTTTGTACCTAAACTAAAGATGGGGGAAAAGATTGGGAACAGTAGGGCGGAAGA